CCCATGATGGTTTTGCTGACCTAATTTGGCTCTGTGCAACAGCAGCCCACTGCTGGTGGTGTGCTAAGTCAGTGAAACACTTCAAATTAAGGTGTTGAACAGGGATTAAGTCTGAAATGAGCTCTGTATGTGTTTCAGTTTGCCTCTAGTTTTTATGGCTGAAGATTTCTCTGTTACTCTGTTCAGCAGTGTTACTGTGCTGAGATCTTTCTGTTCTTTTCAGGAGGACATTTCAGAGTGCAGTGTTACTGTGCTGAGATCTTTCTGACTCTGGCTGGAGGCTGTTTTATGTAGCTGTTGTTATTTTCTGGTTGTATTTTGGTCCATCAATGTGTTTCACATGTAGTTTTTTTTTAAACTGCCTTTAGGTGGACAAGGTAGGAGAATGTGCAGCTGAAGTGGGATTTCTGGAATGCTTTGAAGGCTCATTATTTAAAAATAAACTGAAGGGTCTACTTTTGAGAGTCTCTCTTCATGTGTAATTCAGTGAGAGTTCAGCCTGAGAAAAGGTTGGACCCGAGGTACTCATAACTTATCACAAAAACAAGAGTGGTGTGAAAGCAATGTGTGAAGCTGTGTTGCTGATTGCCTCCACATTTTAATATGTAGTATTGATTTGCATTATACAAGGAAACCTTTGGTTATCCTGACCTTACCAGAGGACCCTGGGAGAACCTGAAAGCAGGGAGTGGAGTCTGTGCATCTGAGCAGAGAGAACGGAGGAGAAAAACTCTTGATGTTTCCCAAATGTGGTAGGATTGTAGAGACTTTGACACTTAGAGATGACATGAAAATCATAGAAAAGTTTGGGTTGGATGGGGCCTTTCAAGGTCCAACCTTCTGTACTGAGCAGGGACATCCCCAACTAGAGCAGGTTGCTCAGAGCCCCGGCCAACCTCACCTGGAATGGTTCCAGGGATGGTGCCTTGACCACCTCTCTGGGTGATTTGGGCCAGAATCTCATCACCTTCAAAAAACAGACTGAACAGTAAACACCAAAGGTTTTCTCCAGGTGAAGTCATGGCCTTGATAAATAATGGAAATGCTGACTTGAAATGTATCTTGACTGCTTTTTGTTCTGATGAAACCTTGTATCTTAGTGAAAATGCTGCTGGAGGTAGTAGGAAGATGATTGTACTCCTAGATCATCACGTTTCCAGAAAGGGACACCAAACTTGAAGAAAGGAGGAGAGCTGCCAAAAGATTTAATAGGCAGATGGAAAATGTTTACAGCAGAAAAATTAGTAGTGGCTTGTTTGCTTTCACTGAAAATTGGATGCCTGCTGTATGCCAAAATACTGCATTGATTTTTGGAAAAAGTGTGAATAAGTCTTTGGTCGTGGTTAATAGGATCCTGTGGTTGTTCATGTTATGATACTTCAGTGAAATTTTCACTAGTGGTCCAAAACCTGTCCTGAAAACCATCACTCTGAGAGCAGCTCTGGTTTGTGGGACTGGCTGCGTCCCTTCAGCCAAAGGAGTAACCAGGAATTCTGAGGGATTTGAATTTGCTTTACAGTCTTGTGATGTCTTTGGAATCTGAGTTAGGAGCAGTTCCAGGGGACAGATCTAATTCATCCTTTGCTCCTTGCAGGTGAAGGAGAATCTGCTGTCCTGCAAGATGCTGCTGCACTGCAAGCGGGACGAGCTGCGCAAGCTCTGGATCGAGGGCATCGAGCACAAGCACGTCCTCAACCTGCTGGATGAGATTGAGAACATCAAGCAGGTCCCTCAGAAGCTGGAGCAGTGCATGGCCAGCAAGCGCTACCTCAACGCCACGGACATGCTGGTGAGATGTGGAACCTGCTGCTGGGCCATCTGCCTGGCTGGCTGATCAACTCTTTCCAAGCTTTTTTGTGGTGGGAGGACTATCCTACTTCTCTCCTGTTTCATCTCCCAGAGAGTATTCACAGCTTTGGTCATTATTGATGAGGGGAGATTGTCTTTCACTGTTTAGGTGTGTTTGCCTCTCATTGTCTTCCTTTAGATCTTTTACCAGGACTCTTCATCCTTTCTACTTCCTTCCAGCTCTTTTTTTTATCCTTTTTTCTTCCTCTCTTCCAGTGCTTTTCCTCTTCAGTTCCGACTATAAGCATACCTACCTAATCCAGTCTTGTGGTAGAAGTGGAAGTTGCCTTGACTTCATAGAATCATAGAATCCTTTAGGTTGGAAGGGACCTTCAAAATCATCAAGTCCAACCATTGAGCCATTAGAGCTCTAAAGTCCTCTGCTAAAACAGATCAGAATCTGTCTTCTCTAATAACAATCTTTTTCTTGTTTCTAAACTTAACAAGCACACTTCCTCACCAAGCTCCAGACCTTTCTTTCCTGGAACTGTCTTCTACCAGGAGTGGAAAATTTCAGAAGGGAGGTGATCCTTCCCCTCTGTTCAGTCCTGACATATGTGGAGTGCTAAGTCCAGTTCTGGGCTCTCCAGCACAAAAGAGAGATGGATTTAGTGGATTGAGTCCAGTGAAGAATCAGAAAGGTGGGTAAGGGGCAGGAGCAGCTCGTGTGTCAGGAGAGGCTGAGAGAGCTGGGACTGCTGCACTTGGAGAAGAGAAAGCTCAGGGATATGTTACCAGTGGTTAGGAATGTTGGATGGGAGGGTGGAAAGAAAATAGAGCCAGGTTCTTCTTATTGGTGCCCAGTGACAGAAGAGGTGAAGGACACAGACTGAAGCAGAGGAAATTTTCTGATAATAAGAAAATACCTTTTTTACTCTAAGGGTGGTTGAGCACTGGAGCAGGTTGCCCCTGGGGAGGTTGTGAAGTCTCCATCTGTGGGAAACTTTTGAAGCCAGCCTGGATGTGGTCCTGGGCAACTGGCTGTAGGTGATGTGCTTGGGCAGGGAGGTGGATTGAATGTTCTCTGGAGGTTTTTCCAACCTTAAGCAGGCTGTAATTCAAAATGAAGGCAAAAGAATGTCTGTTTATGTTCCTCATTGTGTTTGACAGGGAATACGTCTAAGGAAGTCTTTTGATTGCCTTCTTTCTGTGCTTTGTGTTTCTTAGCTGTGCCTCTTCACTTAAGTCATTATTAAAGGGAAGAAAGAGCTGAGAATCTTCTGGAATAAGCTGCCCAGAGGGGTGGTAGATGCCCCAGCCCTGGAACCATTCCAGGTCAGGTTGGATGTGGGTCTGAGCAACGTGCTCTAGTTGAGGCTGTCCCTGCTCCCTGCAGGGGGGTTGGACTAGACCTTGAAAGGGTCCTTCCCACCCAAACCATTCTGTCATTCTATGATCTTAGTGTTGTCACCTCATATGACTAGGGCCCAGACTCAAACTTTAATTTCCTTCTTTCTTTTATCTCATATTTTACAAAGTTGTATTTAAAGTAAAATACCTTGTTCCCTCTGACACATTTTGAGCTGTTTGATGCCAGTCTGCTCATCCCTGTCTCAGATGGCATGTGAAAAACCTATCTGGATTTTTGTTCTTGCTGTCACATCCTCTTGTCTGACTTCACTCTGCTGTCACCTTCTTGGTTCTTTCCTGTTCCTCATGTTCTGGTTTCATGCCACACCTGGTGTGATCATCTTTCTATAATCTAGCCACAATATTCCCTTTCTTAAAACCATTTTCCAAGAACCCTCTTAATCTTATGAACAATTCTCTCATACCTTTCCCACCATATTGTAAACCACCTGGGATGGGCAAGGTATCCACTTGTATTGTGTAATGTAGAGTGGGATTTTTATGGTACTTCATAAAATGTTATGTAGAACCTATTAGAATTCCTGAAAACACATCAGCAGTGCAATGATCTGAGGCAGCAGATGTGAGGAGAGCACTGTCAGGTTTTCTTAAAACTTCTGTCAGGTTTCTGGTATCAGAAATGGGAGTGTGGTGTTTGATATTTTCAATAATGAGAGGTAAGCAAGGTGTGAATTAAGGGTGTTAGTGAAGGGGGAAATCATGGTATTCAGAGTTAACATCAGTATCAGTTGAAATGTTGGTGCTTTTTTACTGATGGACTCACCAGTTCACTTGGTTTGGTGATTTGATTTATTTTCAGGTACTTTTTCAGAAAGAAATTAAAGAAAAATTAACTTCTTATATAGAATATAAGATAGGAAGTTTAACAAGAAAAATAATACACAGGATTTATCATAGAGTATGCTTTGGAAATGATTTTCATTATGTGTATTTGATCCTGTGTTGGTTTGCAATGTTGTGTGCAGGCTTTTTATACATACAGGTATATACTTACAGCCATATGTGTCTGTAGGGATCTTGCCTGAGGCTGAGATGGATCCAGTGTTAGACCTCACTGAAGTATGGATTCTATATCATACCAGGCTGGCTTTTGTTGTTGTTCTTATCCAGAAGAGAAATCTCTAAGAAATCAAATGATAATGATATAAACCACAGCTATTAGCTTGGGCTTTTTTAGTATACCAAGGAATGCAGAGAAGCTTCAAGTGAATGTGGAACCAGCTCTTTCAGCTGCTGGGTGACAGCTGCAAGTCTCATGTGAAGATGAAGTGTACCTGTAATAAAGAAACAAGGATTTACCTGCACTTGGAGCTTTTTCCTAGCCAAAAATCTCTGTAGGCTCCTTGGCTTTTGCCATCTTGTGTTAGCTCTGTGATGTGGTGATCTCTCACTGGCTGAGGGATAATTCCTTTCTCCTTTCAGACAATATGAATATTATGTAAAATAATGACTGAACTGTCAGGGACACAGTGTGTGTATAGATCTGTCCTTTTGTTCCATTCCTCAAGGTAAACAGATGCTCATGGCTTTGAAAAAGCCCAAAGTGATCTGACAAGGAGCTGGGATTCCTCCCATGGAAACTGGAGCAGTGATTAATATTGTTGCCTGTAGCCTTCTGATGCATGCAGTGGAAATTAGACCTTTGCAGTCGTGTTGGGTTGATGCAGAGGCTCTAATGGCATTAATTTCTGGCTGCTGCATTGCATTTTTTCTGCAGTCTGTTCTTTGTATTCCACTCACATTAATTGAAGTAATTTTGCCACTGAAGCGTGTTTCAAACCTCTGCATTTAAATTGAATTTTTAATTCCCTTATTGTTTGGAAAAGAAGGCTGAAGATGGCTTGTTACAGGTTTCATTATCACTCAGAACCCTCCAGCTGCTGGTTCTAATGTGCAATGACTGAGTAATGCTGGCAAGAATTGCTAATAAAGCAATGGCATCTTGTGACAACTGATGTTTCCTAAAGTTAACATTTTGAAGTGGCAGCTTGTTTCTGATGCCATATCCATGCAGAGTAGCACAGATGAGCTTCAGATATCATGTGTTCATGTTGCATGTTCCTCCAGCATCTTGATCATGTACATGCTGCTGAGCAGAGCCAGTGGGATCAGGGCTGCTGTTCTGGAACTCCTCCTTCCACAGCCTGGGTTAAAAGAGCCAAGTTCCAATCTGCTTGGAATTGGGGAGGTTTGGAGATATTGGGAGGGTCTGGAACAGGTAAAACTCCTGTTTTGAGGGAGTAAGTTACAGTTATTGTAAATTTCTGTCTACCCTTTTTTGAAGTCTGAGTTAGTTTTGTAAGGATCTGATCTTTCACACAGTTCATGGCTGAAAGTTGCATTCAATTTTATGTGCCAGCTGGAGGACATGTGCATGTATAGGTCTGTATTTTGTTTAAAATAAAACATAAGAAGGCTCAGGGGAGACCTGCTGGCTCTCCACAGCTCCCTGACAGGAGCCTGGAGCCAGGGGGGGGTCGGGCTCTGCTCCCAAGGAACAAGGGACAGGACAAGAGGAAACGGCCTCAAGTGGTTTGAGGCAAGGTTTAGGCTGGACCTGAGGAACAATCTCTTCCCCAAAGGTGTTGTCCAGGCCTGTGCCAGGCTGCCCAGGGCAGTGGTGAAGTCCCCATCCCTGGAGGGCTTTCCATGCCATGCAGGTGTGGTGCTGAGGGACATGGGGCAGTGGTGGGCTTGGCAGTGTCAGATCTGCAGTTGGACTTGATGGTCTTAAGGGTCTTTTCCAGCCTAAATGATTCTGTGGTCACCTGGCAGTATTGGGTTAAGTTGTACCCAATCTTACAGGTCTGTTCCAACCAAAATGATTCTGTGAGCAGGTGCTGAGAGGGGAATTCTGGTGCAGAAGGAGCTACCCCTGAGGGGCAGGAGGTTCTGCCCAGCAGTTGCTTCATTAACTCAATATCTTAGAGGTCTGTGGGGGTGACCTAATTGTTCTGGCTCTGCTGTTGACCCATGAGGTATCCAGGAGGTATCTCCCTAGGGAGAAATGATTTTTTTTCCAGTTGTTTAGATAATCTAAGAGATGAAATGCTAAAAAGCAGTTGGAGGAAGAAGTGTTGTTGAATTGCATAATTAAAGGTCATATCATACCACCATTAAATGAAAATTGCTCAGGCTACTTTGTTTGCATTTCCAGGCTTTTGTGTCTAGCTTTGCAATTTTAATGAGCTAATGGCACTTTGTCCAAGTAGAGAGAGTTTAAAACAAACAACTTTTAATTTCAATAGACCACAGAACTGTGTTTAAAGGGAGAGAATCAGAAAAGTGTTTCCAGCACAAATCCAAACCACAGCCCCATACTAGGAAGAAGATTGACTCTCCCTTAGTGACAACCAGCACAAGTTCCTCTGAACTTGATGTGTTAGTGCAGGAGTACAGCTCCTTTGGGGTGGGATTGTGTTGGGCAGTGAAACACCATGGAACTGCAGAAATGTATCCATGGGGCAGGAGGGAGGATAGCTGCTGTTTCCAGGTGGACTCTCTGGATGAGGATGACAAGAAGAGAAAATGAAGGAGGAAAGGAGGAGGTATGGAGGCCTCTGACTGGTC